ATCGTGTTCTAGATGATCTATTTTTTATTTTAACTCTGTTTTATATTATTGAAATGAAATCTTCAATTAGAGTTATATATATACATAATTATAAAAAAAATACTTCTAATTTAGTTCATTAGTTAAATTTTTCTTTACGATTGTTGATTATTCTACGTTTTCCTAAAAAAAAAACACTTATTCACTCAAGTTAACATATCATATTGTACTAATCTGTTACGCATAAAATATAATTTATATTCTTATGGTTAGTGATTTTCTATAATAATATGTTTAATTAATTTTTTGATAAATACTACTGATATATAAAGATGCATTAATGCATAAATATGAGTGAAAGTGTTTATTCGTAAGTAGGAAGAACTACATCACTTTAATATCAGATTTTTTCGATTATTAACATTGATTGCTCTTCGAAAATATGAGTTTTGAAAATGACACAAAAAAAAACTACAAAGTGAAAGCACCCACAATATCAAAATGGAAATAATAAAATTGTAATTAAAATTAATTTAGAACTCTTTAATTATGAGTCTAAACATATTATTTACCTTTGTACAGCACAAGAAAAATAATCACCAAATTAAAAACATATGATAAGCATAATCATTTTTTTTTACTTACTTTCTTATGTTGTTAACTATTATTATTTATCAGAAATAATGAAGAAAGTATATAAAAACATTCCAAATGCAGCACCGAATGGAGGAACAAAAGTTGGAATCCAAAAATAATGATTGTAAACAGTAAACGGATCCGTGCTACCAAAAATAAGGGAAGAGGCTATGCGAGGCCCGAGATCTCTCGCAGGATTCATACAGAACCCTGAATTGATACCAATAGAAACCGCAATCGTGATGATGAGTAGCCCAACTCCCAAGGGTTTGTAAGTATTGGCAGGCGTCATGTGGGGGTCAAACATACCCATAATACAGAAGAGAAGAATGGTTGTATCCAGGAATTCGTTCAATAAACAACGAAAATTCGACTCACTAGGGTATGTGCAAAATATTCCACCATACTTCAACGTCATCGTCTCCCCTGGTTGTAATGCATTTTTCGCATCCTGAAACCGATCGTAGAAGAGGATATAGATGCAAAATGCGGCGGTGAAGGAACCTAAAGTCTGCGAGAGGACATAACCTGGAAACTTACGCCAGGGCATGGCACCAAAAAGGCAATTCGCGAAGGTTACTGAAGGGTTCATATGACCCCCGGAGACTCCCATACAAACAAAAAGCCCCATCGCCACGGCGAGGCCCCAGCCAAACATCACCAACACCTCACTCGAAGCCGCTTGCTGGTTTGGAAATTTACTCACAAGAAAGGTCGTCGTGGCGCTCGTACCCTGGCCCAGGGTCATAAAAACCCACATCCCGAAGAACTCCGCAAAGTACTCCCGTAGCCACACGCGGTGTTCGTAAAAGGGCCACTTCCGCGTGCATTGCCAATTTTCATCGTCCAGGCATTTTTGATTTGTATCTTGTTCAGATATGGGCACGGAGTCCTTGGTGTTTGGCTCTTGAATGGGGAACCGATCCGAGGCTGGTATGATCACGTTGATTGGAGAATCTTCGCTCAAAGGCTGACGAGACATTACAATTCTTTTGGAAAAGATGTCACTGGTATATTTTTGGAAGAAAAATATAAGGCTTTTGGATTGTAAAAAAAAATTAATTACAATAAAACTGTGAGATCACGACGTAGATAAAATGAAAAGAAGGAAATGTAATAAAAAATATAGGCGGCTATGGAGTTGACTTTGATTGGACCTCATAACAAATCAATACAGTCAGTTAGTTAAACTTGTCGTTATGATTAACCATAGGTAAGGGCCTTTTTTTTCCTTACAATCAGTGGTAGTAAAATCAAAATAATGTTCTCAAGTAACGAAATCGACGGAAATCACTTGTCACTGGAAATGCAATATGTGAAAAGAAAAATAAACAAGTCCTCCAGGTTACATATTAAGAAGAACTTAATTCCATTAACTTTGAGAACCCCTCTCACAGAAAAAACTTATTATCACCTCTCACAGCAAAACAATTAAAACGTACTAAGGGTCATCCTCCATAAAAACAGGCTTCCTGCACCGCAACTAACCGTTACGCACGCAGAGAACAAAAGAAAAACACGCAACTAGATTCATATAAATGCAACCTAATTGGTAAATTAAGGTTGATCTCTTTTATTAAAACTAAGAAAAATAATGAAAAAATGATTTGAACCAACGCTTGGCTTATTTATGTTCGGAACCCAGTTGATTCAACACATTGCGTTGTGGTTAGCAAATCCCAAGGCCTTGACATAGAGCATAGCTGTATTAACAGGATATCACTGCTATTACGAAGTGCGTGATATTGCATATATATATACAAAACCACAAATCAAAATCGCCTTCTCATTACCCTTGATGCCCTAAGAAATCAAATGTTCTAACGGGCAAGTCTCATCGTCTTTTCACTGTCATCGCTACAGTACTGCATTAACGCTTGAAATTGTCCGTGTCATATAAGTAAAGATCTCAAGTATTTCTTTAATCTTCACTTAATAAATCCTTTTCGTGTAGTTATTTGACCCTTCTTAGTACCCTTACCTACTAAAAAAAAACTATAAAGCGTGCTCCAAACTCTAATTCAGATCAACGAGGGGATTCCTCGACCTCACAAATTGGAGATACTTTCACAGACTTAAACACAGCCCCTGAATCTGCATCATGTCCAAATGCCATAGAATATTCGTGAAACATTTCACTAAAATACGTAATCCCTTTGCCAAAATAGGGCAAAAGCATGAAGAGTAGCCAAAGGCCAAACAGTACAAGTAACCACCTACGGATTAGATCAACAAAGAGCACCTTCTCCACCAAGTTATTGAGCATCCGCAACCCGTTATCGTAGGCAGGAAAGGGATCGTCTGGGATCGGCTTCTCGAGAAACGCGCAGAGCGGTCCCCAGCCGTCGCCGTATCGGTACACCAACAATCGCTCCGCCGGCACTCGAATTTTAACGCTTTCCTCGAACTGGCAAAGCGCAATTGCGCGAGAGCTCGTCGCTTCTGCCTCCATGCACACATCTTTCGCCTTTTTACCATCTTCCAAACCCCCATCCGAAACTCTTGAGGCTACAGATGCATGGACCTTTGGATGTGCGGCTCCCTCACTATGAATGAAATCGTTGTTGGAAAGAGACGTGGAAGAGAAATCCGCCTGATCCCCCCCTCCCCGCACCACCATTTGTTCAATCAGATCTATAAACGCTGCGTTAAACTTTTTCAAGTTCCCGAGGCGCCGCAGGTGCCCACGGAGTGTTTCCATACACTTATCATACTCTTCCGCCCATTGATCCTTCCGCGGCTCCACAACGAGCACCACTTTCGTATAGCCCGGGCAGTCTCGCAAGATAGAATCATAAAGCAGCGTCGTCGGGGGCCCAACGAGGCTGTCGTAGGTCGCGAACCGCTTTCCCTGGAAGGCGAGGTCGCCCTTTAGCATTTCGGCCCAGGCGGTGGTGTGGGAGCTGGCGTTGCCGTCCTGAAAGCACCGCAGGAGGTGATAAGGGGTGTAGCCCAGGCGGATGAGCGCAGGGGTCAGGGCGCCCCCGCCCGGGATCATCGTGAGACACAAAACCCGCATGAGACGAACAGGGCGATGGGTGAACATCCGTTACATCCCAATAGGGGCGGTATGGGGTTTTGTTGGGAAAGGGTTAGGGGTATTGTATCGGCTTGGGTTTAAAAAGCTGAACTTAGAAGGGATTCAACTCCAGTGTGATAGGGGTAAAAAAAGGAAAGGCGAAAGAATCCATTTCAATCAAATCGCGAATGGCACAAATCGTTCGGTTTCCTAAACCTGTCGAGAACGTGAAAAGGGGGGAATTTAATTTAAGCACAGCGAAATAAAAGGATGCGACAGTATGCATATAGGAATCATATTAAAAGCAATTTATACAAAAAAAATAATAAAGCAATATATGAAACGTTAACAAAGTTATAACGACGACATTAAAGCAAAAAACGATTCGATTAATTTATATCTCACTAGCATATATTCTAAAAATATTTTTACAAAAGTCATTTTAGCTAGATAAATATTATTTCACCGTATATCGATTCCTACTTGAGCACGGTCGTCAGAAGCTACTAACACAACATAATCTCTCTATTACCCCACAGACCCATATTTTCTCTCCTTTGATATTGTTTTCGTTCAAAAAAGATTCAAGCAAAAATGACATCTATGCAATAATTGTATAAAATGCATAAAGCATAGAAAAGCCTATTTCCTTTAATCTAAATGAAAGTAACAAATTATCAATGTGTATAGAAAAACAAAAAACGTGAAATAATATTTTAGAAACCAAAAAAATAGGCTTACTAATCGTTGAATTTAAAGCTAAATGCTTCTTATAATAATAAGTGTTCAAATATATCGAGTCCGTTTTAATACTCAATGATGTTCCTTTTCCTTTCCTCGGCGATGTCATCGTGGGGTAGATGACTTCTTGTTTGTCAAAAGCAAAAATTTACAAAAGTATCTGGATATCCAAAAGAGCATTACGGACCTTGTTTTTTTTTTCGGTTTACTATATTCTTGGCGTGCAACAGAGATCGATTAGAGCGGTCTGTAATCAACACTCTAACAGCAAGGACTGTTACGTTCAGCTGACTCACAGCCATTTCATAGCTTCACCTTTTCAAGCCCCGAACCGTTTCTTTCTTTATAGAAAAGCAGATACGATGTAACCTCGCAGCTTTTGCTCCAGTGCCAGAAAAATATTCCTGCTGAGCGTTTCATGGGTCACCAGCTCATTCACCAACACCGATAGGCCGACGTGGTTAGAGGATGTCTTGTCGGCTTGCTC